AGTAAAGACATTTATAATTTCACAAAATAATTATATTTCAAAGAAATGCTGTTATTTTTAATTTTCTATTCCTTAAATCTTGAATTTCTGTTCCTTGAATTCCACAACTGTTTTACAATCAGCATAGTAAGCCCCATTCACCCCACCAGAAACATGCAGTGACAAAGCAACATGATCAGTTTCAATTTCAATTTTAATAGAGAGCTGGTGATTTCCGGCGACACAATCACCAGTGACCATTGGTGACAGGCTGGGGGCATGTCCAGCGATGCGACAAAGCTGAGATATGTTTAACTTATGCAAATGAAGAGCTACTTACGAGAGTGACAACTAATATGACTGAAGTCAGTGGAGCGCTCGTGATCCGTCACTACATCCTGTAGTGGAGTAGAAAGATGGAGCAAGATGGAGGAGAAGTTCATTTTAGCAGTCAGAAACATTCCTAAAATGTATATGTCTCTGTGTACATATGGTACATAGGTGCTGACTCTGAGCCTGAATGGTTTCGTGAACACAGATACATGGTGTTTGTGCTTTCACAGTTAAAAAGCCTCGATGGCAAAGAGCATACACTGTTTCTCGTTCATCTTTAAAGTTAAGCATTTTATGATTCCATTTTTGTTTAGTCTTTTTCTTCCAAAATGTTTGTTTGTAGCAGCAAGAAAATGGATTCATTGTCATTTAGAGTAAAATCCGTGAATGTTATTCACAAAAGATTACTAGGCAACCAGTAGTGGGAACTCTCACTAGCGACATGCAACTACAAAGTCGCTGTTAAAGCCGCCTTTCCACTGCACACGACAAACGACAGCCGTTGGACCAGAAACCATTCATTTTCAATGGAGAGTAGTACGGGAGCTGCGTGGAGTTCCGATCATGTGCGTGTGCGGAAATTCCGGATCCGATGTGAGCTTCGGATGCGTTGACATTTCTTCTGCGGCTAAACCGTATGCGACCAGCCGACCGGATGTAAATGGTAAATGGACTGCATTTATATAGCGCTTTCACAGACCCAATGGCCACCAAAGCGCTTTACAGTTTTGCCTCACATTCACCCATTCACTCACTCACTCATACACCGACGGCGGTGTCAGCCATACAAGGCGCCATCCAGCTCGTTGGGAGCAGCCGGGGTTAGGTGTCTTGCTCATGGACACCTCGACACTTGGCCAGGTGGAACCGGGGATTGAACCACCAACCATGTGATGTATTCTAATCAAAACTATGAGTGCTTATGTTAGAATTACCAATGTTTTTTTAACACTTTAACGTTATTCTGTAAACACTATTTCTGTAAAATGGCAGATATGAATAATTATGGCAGAAATAATTATTTTATAATTATTAAATCTATAGTTATGTTGATTAGCTCTATAAAATCTATTATGTTTTTATTTGAGATGTATTGAGGGTCATTTGTTTGGTGTGGATATATCCAATCATGCATTACTTTCATTAAAATTCTTAATTTTAACCTTGGTGAATAAGCCGAGGTAACGGTTGCTTCACGACCAATTTCAAAGTTCCTTGTGACTGTCACTAGGGGGCGAAATGGGACAATCGTGTGCCAATGTCGTGTGCAGTGGAAAGGCGGCTTAAAGCTGTGTAGTCTAAACTGAATGAATGATGTCAGATTGTGATTGCCACTGTCCTTTTTTTTTTGTGAACAACATTCTAAATTACTATCTAACTCTCTCTATCGTTTTCGTTCTTTCCTGTCGCTTTTCATCTTGGTTTGAAGTGGACCTGAAGTGGTGCCTTCCCAAGACACATGGTCTCACTCGAGTGAATGATATTCTTCAACAGGAGTGAAATAAGATACAATATCATTCCTTTATAGCTGTAACCTCCTTCCTTGCCGCAGCAGTGCTTTAGAGACCCAGTGGGTCTACCTTATTCCTGCTTCACTCTCTGACCATGCCGGTTCCCCAGTTCTATCACTATCAATTAAATTATCAGCAATGGATGAGCACGGGCATGAAATTGCTTTACGTTTTCTCACAGGGGCTTGCTGCCAGCCACAATTTCCCCAGCTACATTTCACACAGCAGACGGGAGGGCTACAAAAAGTCATTTTTGACCGATTCGAGGATTTGTCAGGGAATGTTGAAGACAAGAAATGGGCCATTGGGCCAAGAGCTCAGCGAGCTATAGAGGAAACCCACTCAGAGGGTCAAGAGCTCCAGTGAACTTTCTTGAAAGCCCTATTTTTGGCTCCATTATCAGCAATGTTGTGATTCAGATTTAAGCACTTGAAGTGTCTGATGAAACCATCGTGATAAAAAGCAGTGATGTCTCAATGTTTCTCTCTTCCCACCGCCAAAACTAACTTGCACAACTTTTGTAACTTTCTAAATGAGTTTCTAAGAGTCCTCTTGGTTTTACCCTATAACATCATGGAGCCCAGTAAGAGAGGAGCTTTAAAACTCAGGGAGGCTTGAAAATGTCAAATGCAACACTTTTTTCATCTTTAGCTTTGGCTGATGTTCATCTACCCATGGTACAGTGTCATTCATCAATCTGAAGGGCTGCAACCAAAAGTAAATACTCAGAGAGGAACATGAAGTCAAAGGTTAGCTGTTGGTATTGAGCTGCTTAATGTCATCATTGGTCTTATTCTCAAAAGTCAAAAGTCAGTACCCAGCTTCTGTGACCATGAGCATAGTGATAAATGATACGTCGAAGCACACAAAACTCATGAGAGGAGAAAATCTCATTTGGTGGCTTATTGTAGTAAGGTTTGCAAAAGTAAGAAACAAGAAAAGAAACAATGACATTTTTTTAAAGCAAGGTTCATCTAATGTTTTGAAAATCTTTTTTAACACTTTCTTTTTTACTTTTGTATGTTTAAAAATGTATTTATTAAATTTTTTTCATTTTCATTTATTTAAAATATATATATATATTTAAATCAGTGTGGAATTCAGGGTATATGTGTGTAAAATGTTATGGAAACTTTGACAATGCACAGCTTCTTTTACAGAAATTATGTTTTTTTAGGTCTGAAATCACTAATTCTAGACTTTAATATGATAAACTACAAAAGCTCCTAGGATGTACTTGTAGCTATTTACATATCTTAGTCATGTCAAAAGTGCATCATAGAAATTGCCTGACATGTTGTGGCAGCCAAAGTCAAATTATAAAAGGCAACTTTGCATTAGCATAAGATTTTCATGTCAACATCAGATGCATCAGAGCTCTACATATGTATTCAAATGGCATACATGCACAACATTTGAGTTTTGCAACTGGGGTGTTATTGAGCTACAACGTCACAGTGTGAATCTAGCAGATATATTACATATCTATCACAGTCACATTCACTGTTGAATCTTTTAGCTCAGTAAACCAAACCTGATTGCTGCCAGTCAGAACACCATACACGTACAATACATACACAAATGGATTCTAAACAAAGACCATAGGCTTGCAATAGAAAGCAAAATGTATAAATGTGAAGTTTGTGTAAAATTCTAGAGTCATATTTATGTATTGCTTTTCATATGACTGTAACAAATATCCCGACATAAATGTGTGAGAGTGGCAGAAAAGGTCAAGCTGTATGTTTGAATGGGTGAATTCGCTGGCGGAATAATGAATCAGGCAGATAAGAGACTAAAGCTGGCCTCTCTTTATCTTTCATATAAAATCAAGTACACTCTCTGCACACTTAATATATTTTGTTTTGCTGCTGAATTGAAGATTGTATAGATTGAGTTTTTTTCCCCCTTTTCATTTCATAAGATACAGCAAGATAGAACATGGAAGGACAGAAAAGAGTAAAAAAAAAAGAGTTTTTTTTTTTTATCAGCCTTGTTCCGGCCTCGTTCCGCTCCCACAGCTCTCTGTCACTTCATATAACAGTAACGTTAATAAAACTTAAATACATTAGCTCATCCATGAACATGATTTCTGCCTTGAGTCCCATCGGATTGCTTTCCGTCAGCTAGAAGACGACAACTCCCATGATTCCACAATCATCCATGACATCATCAAGCTACTCCTTGTTGTTTTGAATAAGTGACTTCTAGCGGCAAAACGTACATACTGTGCGTTTAATTATATTGTGAAATACATTGATTAATTCGATAACAACTTTCCTTTTTTGTCACATAGACCATGCAGGCTATGAATAATGTCAACCAATAGCCAAATAGTTTGCAAATTGCAATTATTTCTTTCTTTCTGCTTTCCATTCTGCTCTGCAACACTCACTTTTCACTATCACTTCCATTTAAGATCAATAAAATAAAGTCCTGTTCTCCTTTTGTCTTGTTTTGCTTTGTCCACAGTACAGAAGTAAAATGGGTTGCAGCTCACATTGACAGACTTGCAAACATTATATATATGTTTCTCTCTCTCTCCTAATCACTAATGTTTCTTTCTCAGTGTGGACAGTTCATTCAGTTATCTCATTCCCTGACAGATCTCATATTGATTATTTCCTTCTAACCATGCTCTCGCTCTTTACAATCTGCACATTATTTGTCTCTCACGAGTCTCATATAGCACGAAATAGAGCTTGAATATGAAGGCCTTAATTAGTCTACATCATTGAGGAAAGTGAAATGTTCCAGTATTGTTATACTAAATATCAGCACTCTTGAAGCCCTGCTTGTTAGATTAGAGGACATGGACTAACGGCTGTATTTTTATGGCACAAAAACAAAGGGTTATAAATGAAAGAACTCAACTGGGATGACAGCTGAAATCATTAACTTCAATACTAAATAATTTTTTTTTTTAATTAAATAAAAGGTGTATTTTTCTTAAAAATGAAGAGATAAAAATACCTCAAATCATTAAATTTTATTTTAATAAGTTAATTGATGTGAGTCATCTAAACAATCTGACCCACTAGAATGAATCAGACTTTTTTTCATGAGAGAGAAGTTTAGAAAGGTTTTAATTATTATGTGTCCAGCTGAAAGCTGTGTGTGCATTAAAAATGGTGATTTGTGGTCATTACTTCATCAAAATCTATCTTCCTCTAACAGGCTAGAGTCTCCGACAAGGACACTGACACTGGAGGCTCCCAAAGGTGTTGAAGTGAACGCGGGAGTAGGGGAATTCAAAGCTTCTTGTAGGAAAGATCTCACTTTAGAGTCTTCAGAAGGAGAGGTGAGTATGTGAAATTGTATATAGGGGAAACGATGCAGATGTCAATAAGAAAAAAAAAAATTAAAAAGGTTATTTTTTGCCATCTATAGTTTCATGAATAACTTTTAACGCCCATGGAACCTTTCCATTCCACTAAAAGTTATTCTGTCTACCAAAAATGGTTCTTCTATGGCATTACTGCAAAAAAGCCAGGACTGCCATCATGGGTTTACAAAACGGTTACAGGTTCTGATGAATAAGAAACTTCCACTATGCATAAACAAATAACACACACCATTATACATCAAATTGTTGTGTCTTTACTGAACTCATTTTGTAAACATTCACAGTGCAGGGTGGAACATTTATGTGAACCCTTGGATATAAACTATTAATTTTGAAGAAAACAAAACTTTCATTCAGCAAGGATGCATTTCATTGATCAAAAGAGATGGTAAATACATAATAATGTTTAAAAAAATTAAAAAAATTAAATTTAAAATAAAAGCCTTTTTTAACTTTCTATGTCTCGCATAGAAAACTTCTATGCGAGATGTCTCTATGTCTCGCATAGAAAACTTTCAATTTTTAAATTGAAAAAAAAAATGTTTTACTTGGGCACCAAATCAGCATATTAGAATGTGAATTATGTGACATTGAAGACTGGAGTAATGGCTGATAAAAATTCAGCTTTGCCATCACAGAAATACATTTAAATAGAAAACAGTTATTTTAAATTGTTATAATTGTTCACAACATTACTGTTTTTACTGTATTTTACTGTATTTATATATATATATAGCCTTGGTGAGCATTAAATACTTCTTTAAAAAAAAATGCTTTAATCTTATCAACCCCAAACATTTGAACAGTAGTGTAATAACTTGTTGACGTTTCTTTCACAGCAATAAGGGTCAGTGAGGCATCATCATTTTCTGTATAATTTGTATACACCAATTGTGTCCATTTTTGTGGCTTGTCACGCCACAGTGTGCCTACTGTAACTCATCCCTCTGAGCATTTAAATCTCAAGTTTTTTTTTTTGTTTTCTGTCATGTTGGTGAGCACTTTAGAAAACTCAATTACAACAAAATTCCACCTCACATATTGCACTTACTAACACACAAATTGATTCTTGACAACATGTCAACAAATTACTTAAGAATGACGTGTTGTAGCTTTTGCACTGTTTCACCCTCCTCTCGCACTTTTTCACACTCTCGCAGTTTGTTTCTCTTTGACACTCTCTAGCTTGGGCGCACACCTGACTACTTCCTGTCACAGGCTAGTTGTAGACTTACAGGGATTTTTTCCCCAAAAATTACATTTCTGTCATCATTTACTCACGCTGATGTCATTCCAAACCCATAAAACTTCTGTTCATCTTCAAAACACAAATAATGATTTTTTTTTTTATGAAACCTGAATATTCTGCCCCTCTATTGAAATTCCATTTACCTAAAATATTAATGCTTCAAAAACTTCATAAAGACATTGTAAACGTTTCGCATATGAATCGAACAGTTTAGTCCACTTTATATGATGAACAGATTTTATTTATGATTTTATTCACATTAACATTGATCAATGCACACTGGTCGATCATACTCTTCCACAAGAACCAATTTTGTTTTGTTTACGAGCATCAAGCAAGTTAAGTGCGTTTAAGCTTTCATTGACTCTATTTGATATGCTCAATATATCTGTGTTGATCAGTTTGTTATTAGATCCGTTCCTCAGTTGAAGTGATTTTGTCTCTTCAGAAGCTGTGGATTAAACTGCTCAATTCATTTGGATTACTTTTAAGATGTCTTTTTGTACGTTTTGGCTGCATGGACATTCAATAAAGGGACATAAATCTCTCAGATTTCATTAAAAAATATTTTAATTGGTTTCAAAGATGAACAAAGGTTGAATGGGTTTGGAACGTGAGTAATTGATGGCCGTTTTAGTTTAATGAACTAACCTTTTAAAACCTCAAACAGAAAGATGTTTCAGTTTGGTAGTGTATTATTGGTTTTAGTTGAAGATCAAGAAAAATTGTATAAGCAATTTGTGCTGAAATCCCAGTAAATCCAAAGGGTTCACATACATTTTCTTCAACACAGAAGTGTTTTTATTTTATTTTTTATTAATAGTGCATGTACTGTACTTATGTAAAGAGCTCTGAATGAGTTATCTAATGTTCACATCTCATATGTGTTACATTGGACCTTTTGTTAATGGGGGTAGATGTGACTTCACACAGTCCTTTCTGGTCAGATGTGAGCGGATCATGTCCTCAATAATTGCCTCAACCAAACACATCCAAAATACTCCAGATCTTTCTCCTTTTCCTTGTTCATGCTTTTTTTCTGTCCTTTGTCTTCCTGTTTTACACTCATCTGTCTACATCTTTCTCTGTCTACAAGCCTAGTTCACTGTCCAGTAATTGCAGTGTTAGTGTAATTCTAAGAGCACCTTGAACATGTTTAGATTATCCACGCTCACCCCCACCCCCCTTTCGTTCAAATTAGTGCCGTCATGTTGAGCTGCCTAGCTCTCTTTCTTCCCCTCTCTCTTCCTTTGTCTCTCTCTCCTTCTCCTATCTCACTTTAGTAACTGCCCAGGCTATTTAATTAACTTCCATGAGTCCAAGTCATATATCATGCTGCTCTGTCACCTCTTTGGGAAAAAAAGTTTTTTTTTCTTCTCTTTTTTCTCTCTTCTTCTTTTGTGCCTGAGATAGCAGGATGGTGCAGTAAGGAGTGATGTAAGAGAAAGTCATTGATGCACAGTACGGGCACTTGTAAAACTTTGTCATTTCTTAAAGCATTAAAGTTCACACAAATATTAATATTGTTATATATTCACTCAACTTTTTTTTTTTTTTTAGTGGAAAACAAAATGAGATATTTTAGGGAATATCCTGGTCACTCTATTGACAGCGCAATTACAGTGAATGGGGACTGCTTTAAAAATGACTCAAAAGCACCATAAAAGTGATCCATATTACTTGTGGACTGTATACCAAGTCTTTTGAATCAATATGATATAGCTTTGTGTGATGAACAATTGTTATTCCCTTATATTCTTCCAATACAATAGCACATGTGAGAAAAGTGTCAGTTACACCGTGTATACACCACGTATACTGTATACACGAGTGTTGCGACGCAACAAAAGCAGATAGAACCCATTATAATCAGTGATGCTGTCTACACTAAATGCTATGCAACACAACAAATTTCCGACAGTAAACTGATGCACCGTTCTATTTCTGATGTCATGAGCTCGCACTACTTCTGAGGCGAAGAACAAATGGATTTGCAATACTTGGAAAACACGATGCGACAATGTATACACATGGTGTTAGCTGCGGGAAAAAATCATTCACAATGCAAGCTTATGTACGATACCGTTGTAGGGTATCTGGACAGTCTCACATGACATAACCATTCTAAGTTTGGGGAAAAGCTTTTAACATTTGACTCGCGTCTAGTAATTCACCAGCGAGCGCCAGAAAGTCTGTTCCTAATGGCATTCATTGACACTTTCATGGCGAACGTGAGTTAAAACAAAACACCCCTAAAACCAGCGATGAGCCAGCTTCACACAGACGTTATCATCTCAAAACCTTCCCCCTTTCCGGCAAGAAGGAATTCCATTCCAGAAAAATGTACAACAAAACAGAAATGAGCCACAACACAACGGAAAATGTACAACACAACGGAAATTGTACAACACAATGAAATAAAGCCGCAACACAACGGAAATGCTTCCGACCACTAGAGGGCTCTCGGAGCGCGGTAAAGTTACAGCGCACGATCCCTAAGGGAACATCTGGCAAGTCCACCAAGTGGTTAAAACGTATAATTTATTATAATATAATTTGATAAATAAAAATAAAAAACATTTGGTGAATTGCAGAATTACAGGAAGGTATTGGCACAATTTCACCTGTAATAAGTCAGTCTGGTCACTAGGAACCTACCACAAGCTTTGGCACATGAAAACAAAAACCTTTAGGTGAATTACAGTAGGTCTAATGTTTTTATAAAAAAAAAAAAAAATGATGTACTGTGCTGTATATACAGGGAGCTATTGGCACAATTTCACCTGTTGTAAGTCAGTCTGGTTAATAGGAACTACAATCTTTGAAACATGATAAAAGAAAAAAATACTTTTATAGAAATTACAGTAAACAAATAGTTGTTTACTGTAAATACATGAAGGGGGGTATTGGAAAAAAAGTCACCTGTACTAAGTCAGTCTACTATCAATACAATAAAGCTTTGGATTTTGAACATGTCTGTTTTTGAATGTTAAAAGTAATTTTAATTAATACAAATTATACGTTTTAACAACTTGGAGGAATTGTCAGATGTTCTTTTAGGGATCATGCACTGTGGTAGCGCGTCAAAGCATTCTAGAGTATAAATATGCAACTATAATCCACGTAGGTGATTTTGAATTAATAAATGTCATAAACAATATGACATTTATGATAAAACTTATCGTGGTGTTGATATATATTTTTAGACTGCTGACTCTATAGAACAATGGCATGGAAAACTAACTTTATCGCGCTCCGAGAGCCCTCAAGTGGCTCTATTTCTGTTGTGTTGCAGCTTTATTTCGTTGTGTTGTACATTTTCCGTTGTGTTGTGGCTCATTTCCATTGTGTTGTGGATTCATTTTGTTGTGTTGTGGCTTAATTTCGTTGTGTTGTGAACTAATGTTTGCTTTTTAAATGTCGTTGTGTTTTGCACTACTGGGCCACCGTAACTAATTCATTGAAAAGTTTCGACACAAATAACAATTAATTGACATCTCTCATGAACACACAATTAGAGCTAGCTTGGATGTTGAGACTTCCAATAAATAAATTCTTAAATTTTTGATTTGTTCATCACACCAAGCTATTATAAGAGTTCAGAAGACTAGTATAGCACACATCCTTTTTTTCAAATTGTATTCATATATTTTATTTTGAGTTCCACTGAAGAAAGAATTTGGTTTTGGAATGACATGACATGAGA